TATCATTTGTAGTGCTCTATTTTGATATTAATCCTCAGGTTTGTTTTCTGTATATTCATTATTATTAATTTAGCCTTGCTTTTGTATCTCTGTATTGATTTTCACGAATTTCTATTGCCTTCATGTAAGAAGAAATCTTCAATTGAAATTTAGTTTCTCTACTTTCAGAGACCTTGACTTGATATGTACGAGCACTGATCATGTTTATGAATACAATACCAAATCATTTAAAGATGGGTATAACAGAATCTTCTACATATGATGTCCACTTACTAAATTGTATCTTTTAATGGATTTCAAGTATGGATAAAGATGAATTATTCTGATTAAATGCTTAGATTATACATGTATGTGATTGATATTTGCTTGTTGAATGTTGCATACAATTCAACCAATTCTTTACTCATCATGAAAAGGCAGAACTGTCGTTTGGATATAATTATGCCTGTGTTGACAATCAGGTTTGCGATTCCACCTTAAAGGCATTTACGATGCAGATATTGTCATATTACCTGTTGAACAGGTTCCTGCTGATAAGTTTTTTAAAATCCCCTCAATGTTTGATTTTTCGATTTTGTCGATTCCCTTTCCCATAGAATTTGTTATCCTATTATTACTGAGAATCTTGTAAACATGCTATTTGAACGGTCTATTATATTAAGCATTTGTTCTGCAGGCCATCACGACAAAGTGCAGCATAATTCCTTATAAACATTACTGGATAGCCAGCAAGCGTATCGTGACACCAAAAGGGGTAATTTCTGGTGCAGGTTTGTTTCCATACATAGTGTCAGTTATGACTAATTTATCAAAATAAAAAGTATGAACCAAACATTTGATCTAGTTCTATTCAGTTTACATCTTTTTGTGGTGTTAACCTCGTGATTCGAAGCTGTATTATGCACAAAATTTCGCGATTCTAATTATTATTGAATGTGGAAAATGAACAGTTGAAGTGAAGGGAGGGAAGATCATATCTGTAGTTGAAGAGGATGATTGGCGAGAGAATGCTAGAAGCAAGCACATTATTAATTATGGGGAGGCTGTCATTATGCCTGGTTTGATTGACGTGTAAGATGTCGAAACCTTTTACTGATGTGCTTTTCCTTTCTTAGTTGTCATTGGCTTTTCATTAGCTTTGCTAGTATATAAGGCATTGCTTGATCTAGTTTTCTCAAAATATGAGATGTATAAGAAAGATGCTAAATGGCGTATGTTGTTTATGTAGTCTTGTGAGCCGTATCTTATCATACTTGTTGTTTTTATGTTTCTTCAGTATGTAAGAAATTATTCTGTTCCATTAAATGATTTGTCAGTACAAATGATAAAGTTCGTTCATGCCAGGCATGCACATCTTGATGACCCTGGAAGAGCAGAATGGGAAGGATTTCCATCGGGGACAATGGCAGCTGCTGCTGGTACGTGGATATTGTACTTTTAACTCTTTTTGAAGTTATTGAGAGGATTATGGTGGTACAAACTGAAAACGGATAATTTATAGCTTCTTGTTTTAAGTATTTGGAAATATACCCGACATATGGCTATTATAGGAAAATACAGGTTCTCACATCTTCTTAACCTGAAACTGTTAGGCCAAAGGAAAACTTCGTGTTCTGTAGCGCTTTCTTCAATTCTTCAAGCTTTTGAACTCTTAAGAGAGTGTTTATTTTAAACACATACATATTTTCATAGAGTATACTTATACATCATTCTTTTTTAACTGGTCAATTTACTAATTATATGTGATCAGTTCAGTCTCTACCATGACATAGCCTTTTGAATCGTTTTGTTAATGGCTATAATTAACTATTCATCTCTCTGTTCTTCCACAGGAGGGATAACGACACTGATTGATATGCCTCTTAACAGTTTTCCATCTACAGTTTCTGAAGAAACTCTCAAACTTAAGGTATAGGGTTTTTCAGGTTTCTTGTTTATTTCAATTTGACTAGTTTGCCGTTGGTCCTTTAGTTTCACTATAGCTTGCTTGTTTTGCTGTCTTCAAAATGGCTGTTGTAACCATCACTATTCACGAAAGCATAGAATATGTAAACATTCTTGAGTATGTCATGTGGGTCACGAGAATTGAGACATGATTCTTTTTATTAATGAGATCAATATATTGAGATCTTCTATTTGAAATGCTATTTTATATTGGCCCCTCTCATTTAGAGATATAATCACTTAGAGATATAATCACACCATATAAATTATTTACACTTTCTTCATGTTCTTTTATGCTCATGTATCACAGACCAATGCTGCTAAAGGGAGGATCTTCGTCGACGTTGGTATGCTTTCTTTATTATTCTGGGATTGGCATACTGATTTTACTATGTATTATCAGCTTCTTCTTTCAACAGGTTTCTGGGGTGGTCTGGTCCCAGAAAATGCATTTAATGCTACGTCTTTGGAGTGTCTTCTAAAGGCGGGGGCTCTAGGCTTGAAGGTTTGCTCCTGCACTAGTGATGGATAAGAACATAAATGATTAGTTTTTATATGATTGTGAAAGCATTTCTCTAAATGATGGAATACAGAATACTCGTTTATTCAGAGGGGGAAAATGTCGTAACAATAGGAAGACGTGTAAATAGAATTATAGAGTATTTGCTGTTATACAGTTTAGTTTGTTGAACTAATATTTCTGTGGTCTTTAAAGTGTGTTTATTTATATAGTTTCACAGTTTCACTCTATGTTTCTCTGAAAAATAATAAGCTAGAATTTCATTTTATGTTTTCTGTATCCGGTTTCTCCTTCCAATAATTCTCTCAACTCACATATACTACATGGAATTCTAATCTATCAATTACAATGGGACTACATCCCATTTTATAGGCAAATCCCATGCAAGGGCCTTGAATTTTAATG